CTATCTCATATATTAGTATTACTTTTTAAATTGCATTACTGAAATAAATGAACTTTTGCACGATATTCTAATTTTTCGAGTTTCACCTGTATGATAGAACCTAGACATTTGAAGATCTCTACTGTTGATACAGACAAGGAATTTGTCTGCGGTGCATATCAGTATTTGCACTGAACTGAGATTGCAAAACGAAGGGATGAATTGCAACCTGCTCTTGTCCTTCCGATGCATTTCAGCCTTAACCAACTCTGCCTCGTCTCCCATCAACCAGTCCATTACGGCTTCGTTCAAGAAGCCACCATTCTTGAAAGCAAACCAGCCTGGGCATCCTTAGTCGGGGAATGCCTCCCTCCCTCCCACCTCCAGCGACGTCTTCCCGGAGGGAGAGGGCGGGCAAGCGCGCGCCTCCTCAGCCAATAGGAGCGCTAGGACCCGCCTCGATTGTTACACCTGGTAACGCCCCCTCTTCTGCACGCCTTTCGCCTCCACAGCGCATGCGGGCGCGGGCGTGACGGCGCGCGCCAGCCGCGGTCGCCTTCCCTCCCCAAGATGGCGGCGGCCACCGGCGGCGAGGCGGTTTGTGGCGACGGCCCGGCAAGCGGCACCGGCGACATCGGCAAGAGGGGTCACCTGGGCATCCCCGAGGCCATTTTCGTCGTAAGCGAGGGAGCGGGGCGAAAGGCTTGGCGAAGCGGGCCGGGACGCGGGGGGTTGGGGGGAAACGCGACGGCAACGTTCCAACCGCCCGCTTTCTCTTGCGCATGCGCGCTCCGTTTCTGTCAGGGGCGGTTAGGGCCCGCGCGGCCGGGCGTTGGAAGATACTCTGCCTGTCTCCATGGAGGCTCCTCTCCATGGGGCTGGGTCGGCCAGGCTACTCGGTGCTTGTCCCTGGATGGGAAGGGCCGAAGCGGCGATCTTTCCCGAGCGCGGTACGGGTGCTTTGGCTCCCGCAGCTTTGGCTGGGGATTCTGGGCTCTGTAGTCCGTAGGAACTGCTCAAGGGCACCTAATGGGGAAAGATCCTGTTTCTTGGAAAAGAAGAGATTTGGGTGTGTGTGTTCTGCTGCCTAATTTAACCGGTATACTGCCCTTGAAGGTAGGGGGTCTCTTACGTTCAAAGACCGCCTTGAGCCAATCCCCCCCCCCTCAGCCCAACCCACCTCACAGGGTTGTTAGATAAATAGGAGAAGGAGTCTTAGGTATGCTTGACACTATATTGGTTTGTTACATTTATTTGCCAGCTATCTTGCTCTGGGTCTACTCTAGGCAGCTTGAATTATTTGTAGTAGTAAAATAATAATCAATAAATCAATAAATCAGTGGTTCCCACCCTTTTTTTGGCCTTGCCCCACCTAAGTATCTTTAAAATCCTGATGCCCCCCCCCATCTAATTCTTACTTTACTCAAAAAGTGAACTCTACTCATGCGGAGGAAGCCTAAAAGGCCATTAACTTGGTTTAAACAAGGTTCAAATTGCCCCCCATTAAAAATCAAATTGTCCCCCTTGTGGGGCATGGGTCCCACGTTGGGAACCACTGATATAAATGAAATAAATAAGCAGTTTCCTATAAATGAGCTAGTCCAGGTTCACTTCTATAGTTCCACTGCAGCAGGCGTCTGGCTGGTCTCTTTGTTATCTTTGAAGCATCCACAGCAGGTTAGCGTAGTTTTCCTGCATGATTTTGGTACTCTGTGTAAGTGGTTTTAAAAGGAGATTGGGGAAGTTTATGGAAGGTGAGGCAGTCAAGAGCTAGTTTAGCTCAAGAGTCAAGAAAGCAGGCTGGAGACCAGTTGGGTACCTCTTGGCCAATCATCATGGACTTTGAGTTCTATTCTTGCCTTAGGCATAAAAGCTAACTGGCACTGCTTGGCCAATCAGGAGAGTCTGAGTTCTAGTCCTACCTTAGGCATAAAAGCCAGTTGGGTACCTCTTGGCTGATCATCAAGGACTTTGAGTTCTAGTCTTGCCTTAGGCATAAAAGCCAGATGGGTGATTTTGGGCCAATTAAAAGGAGATGGTGATTTTGGTCACTCATTCTGCCTCATCTCCAAGAAGGGGGCATTGGCAAAACACTTCCAAAAACCTTGCCCAAAAGAGCCCCTGCAAGGATTCATCTAGGCAGTCGCCCAGAGTCAAGACTGACTTAAAGGCAAAGACAGTCAGTTTGGCATTGAGATTGAAGGCACTAGACTAGGAACTGAGAGACTTGAGTTCCAATGCTGCCTAAGTAATGAAGATAATTGGAGGAGCTTGGGGCAATCCCTCTCTCATAGCCTTATGAAGAAAGTAGTGTGACAAGCAAGCACAAACCACTTTCAATAGAAAGCCATTTGGGGGTCATGACTAAGGCACCAGACTAGACATCAGGAGCCCTATCCAACAGTAGACACAAAGCTAACCGGTTATCTGTGGTACCAGTCATTCTCAACCCAGGAAGAAGGCAGTGCAAAACACACTGCAGGACTCATCCAGGAAGCTATCAGAGGCCAAGACAGATTCAAAGACACAAAAAACAAAACAACAAAACCCGCAAAAGCAGGTTTCTTGTCAATATTTGTCTTGTCAGATGCTGAAGGAGCCAAGCTGAATGGAGCTATTACATTCCTGGTTTTAAGCTCCTGTATCACAAACCTAATTGGCAGAGCAAGTTTTGGATCTTTCTCTTTTAATACAGAAAATACTTGGTTTTATCATACTCATCTGCCATCTTTCCTAGAATGTAGCGTGCAGGATCTTTTCCATTGACTGCTGATTTTTCATTTACCTAGTTCTTTTTTAAAAAAAAAATCCTTCATGAAATATGTTAAGCAGAGGGATAATTCTTAAATCTTAAATCCCAAGATTTCCCAACCAATTTTGAAACCAAAAGAGAGAGAGAGTTAAATCTAGGCTGTTACTCTATTGTTACGATGTAATATTTTGGTTTGGACCAATCTGGGAGACAGAAAACTTTCTGGAAGAAGCATATTGTGTAGTTGCCTAGGAAAGAGCATGAACAAAATCTATACATTTTCTAGTTTAGTTCAGTCCTTTGTTTTTGTTTCTCCTCCACCAGTGTTTGCTTCGCAGCTAACCAGAGAGACGTAAGTGAACCAGTAGTGGAAATGATTTTGAGGAGCAGACCTAAAAGCATTTCATTGATGGGCCAATTATCCAGTTCTGCCAATCCTTCTTTCCAGGATGTCAAAAAAAAGCAAAGGAACAAGCTATTGGCTCATCAGCCTGATGTTGTGTTTTTGGAATTAACCATATATGTGTATTCTTACTTTAAGGAAGATGTAGATTCTTTCATGAAACAGCCAGGAAATGAAACAGCAGATGTAGTGCTCAAGAAGCTGGATGAACAGTATCAAAAATATAAATTTATGGAACTTAACCTTGCCCAGAAGAAAAGAAGGTGGGTATGTTTATGATACTTTTACTGGTACAAGGGCTATTCTAAAATTTGGACACTTCTCTGCCAAGCATAATATGGTGTAAATTATTTCATTAAACTTTTCAGACATTTCTTTCCTATGTACATATCGTTATAAGCAACTGAAATATGTAACTTATATACATAATAAATATAAAAATACATAACCTGTTCCCTCTACAGGAAGTTTCTAATCATCATATTCATCTTGGTGATGGTATTTATAACTAACTTCGTGCTTACTAATTTTCAAATGTTCATAAGGGCACATCTATATGTTGTATATCCTGAAATACATTTGAGGCTGTTGGAAGAAATTTCATAAAATGCACTGAAATAGAGTAAAACAATTATTCTGCCATAAGTAGAGCTTTTGATGCTCATTCCCCTTTCAGTAATGGGGAACACTGAAAGGGTTTTTTATTAAATGCTGTATCAGAGGCGGTAGGTCCTGGCTCTTACATTTATATCTGAAGAAAATGCTTTTCTTTTTATGTATTGTGTGAGGGGTCATCATGCATGGTCACAATGGTATGTGCAAGTAACTTCTTTGTGACTCAGTTTTTTCCTTCCTAAGAAAAAGTTTAATATCCACTGTCTCACTTATTGCCAGCCCAGCTGGTTGGACCATCCAGGAAACCAATTCTATAGAAGGCTTAAAACAAAACTACTTTTTATTAAGATTGGCTATAATATCACAGTCCTGCAAGTCAGATTGTGCTGTACTTCTATCCCCTTTTACTCCAGTGAATCAGGAAAGTGTCTGCCTGAATGTTCTGAATGTTATCTCATCTTTCAGGACTTAAAAAATGCTTCACCTCTTTTTGCCTAGGTAACAGTTCCTGTATATTTCTTTTTTTTTTCCAAATACTTTTTTATTTTCCATTTTCATAACATACAATCACATGTATACTATTACATAGCCAGTATCCTATTGTATTAAGTAGAAATTACATCAGTTCCTGTATATTTCTGTTAAGGTCATCTTTCTTATTTTCTACAGTTTTAGTATGAATCAAAACGTTGGGTGTTTTTTTTCCAGATGAAGAATGATAAAAATAATAATTTAAATGTTTTATTTTACAGATTAAAAAGTCAAATTCCTGAAATTAAACAGACATTAGAGATCCTAAAACACATGCAAAAGAAAAAGGTAAGTACAGCTAGTCCTTGACTTATAAACCACAATTGGGCCCATAATTTCCGTAGGTAAGCTAGGTTCTTAGGTGAGTCATGCCCAATTTTATGGCTAACCCTAACCATTGTTGAGTCATAACATTTATCTGAATGAATTCCTTTGGAAATACAGCATCTATTTTCCATGTCTAATTGAAAAATGAAATAATGCATTCTCTCTAAGCAGTATACGTATTCCTAGACAAATTCAGTGAAATATCCTATCTTGTGCACATCGCTATGCCATTGGTTATAACAAACAGGTTAGCTTTAGATCTTAAGTATTTTCATCATGATAGAAAATTAAAAGTACTCTATAGACCATTGCTTTGATTATGTTGATTTGTCCTTTCCAAAGGAATCTACAGATCTCATGGAAACCAGATTCTTATTGGCAGATAATGTCTACTGTAAAGCATCAGTTCCTCCTACAGATAAAGTTTGTCTCTGGTTAGGGGTAAGTAAGTAGAAAGTGAAGCACCTCTTCCAGTGCTGAATGTATTGTAGTTCTAAATATGGTTGTAACATATTGGGAATTTTCTAGTAAAAATGTACTGTAACGTATTTGCTTACGTGGTAGGAATCTCTGTCTTTTAAGGCAGGACTAGTTGTTTTTTTTAATCACAAGAATATCTAAGCCACTTTCAAAGGGAGCCCAGTGATGTTATTTTAGCAAACTTATTTTATATATATACCAAAGTTTGCTTTGATATTTGAGACTAAACTATGAAACTCTTCCTTTTTTATTATTTTCTGTTTATTATATCTGACATGGCAAACTATAATGTGTAATTCTCTTCCATGGCTTACTTGTAAAACATAGTTTGCCAGCTTGGAAAACTTTGCTAAAGGAAGAGTTATATCCTGAAACAATGTATGAACTAAGGATTAAAGTTGCTGGTCAGTAATGGGATTCTCATCTTCGTGGCACAGTTTGGAGATTAGCTTCATCCATTATTTTGTGCAGTTTTCAAGATTCAGTAATCTGTTAGGTTAGGTTTCTGGTTCCACGGGCATTTGCTGATAACTGGCATTAAGTTCAGGACAATCAATTGCGAGGAATGGGCAAGTTCGCTGTCCTTGGTCCCAATTACATGCCTCTACTGATGCCTAGAGCTGGTATGAATGGAAGGTCAGCATCTTCCAGATGGCAAAAGCTGAGCGTCAACTCTACCTTGATTTCAAGGAATCATAAAAATAAGTTTTCATTTAAATGCTGCCCTTAGGCCAATGTTATGCTGGAATACGATATTGACGAAGCCCAGGCACTGCTAGAAAAAAATCTTAGCACAGCTACAAAAAACCTCGAGTCCCTAGAAGAAGATTTGGATTTCCTTAGAGATCAATTTACAACTACGGAAGTCAGTATCCTTTTTGCGGTTCAAATGTTAGGTTGGAATGGTCTTGTTGGGCATACCTCTACTTGTGAATTGCATTTGCACGAAGTGACTTCAAGACAATTTCAAAGAATTGCAGTTCCAAGACTTGTATTTCTATTGTGTTTTTCAGCCAGAGTGAACTCTCAGAGCCAGGTACCATCAAATCCACTTAAAGACAGTGGATGCATAAGCAATGAAGGGTCTGTGAGAAAAAAAGATCCCTATTATCTCGATCCTTGATAACATAGCTCCTCTGTCTTGCATAAACTTAAGCCTTTAGGTTATTACTTTTTCTTTTTCCTTTTTTTTTTTTTTTGGATAATGTGCAGATTCAGTCTGGACTTTAAGCTCTTTCCTCTGTAAGCAGCAATTCCCAACCTTTGCAGCTTGGGGGCGGGAGGGCGGGAGGGCGGAATGGGGTCGTGTAAGCATCAGGCCAGCATGCAAGCACAGCACAAGTTGAGCTGTGCTGGTCCGTCACTTGCACAAGTTGAGCTCCATGTGTGAGTGGGCACACTGGGCCGATGCTATGCGGCCCTGTTGCAAATTGGCCACAGCCTAGAGTTTGGGGACCTTGCTCTGCAGAAAAAGCAAATAGATCCTCCAAGTGCTTCATTAAAATATTTAATTAATTAAAATAAAACAAGCAGGGGATCCAGGATGTACTAAAAGGGGAACTTTAAAGGGGGTAGTGGAAAAGCTGCCTTGAAATTTGTTCCCAGCATTCCTTGGTATGTCTGTGTTGGCTATGGAAGTTTCAAATCCATATGGAAGGCATTGTCTTGGGAAAATCATTTTTTCTATTCCCTAAGCACCATTGAGGAGCCCTTTATAGTCATAAATAAACCTGCCTTAGTGTCAGCGAAGCAGGAAAATGCAAGGAATTGTGTCTGCTTTTGAACCATACCTTCCTTAACCTCTGTCTGCAGATATGGCCAGAGTTTATAATTGGGATGTAAAGCGAAGAAACAAGGATGACCCTCCTAAGAACATGGCTTAGTTCTACTAGTTTTAAATACGGTTTTGTTTTTTCTTATTTTTAAACTACCGTTCGGTTCAGCCTTTGATGGACTGTGTTTTAATTTAATCTTTTTGGTTGTTGACATAATGGCGAGCACCTTTTGTTTTTATATTTTTTAAAAGGGGCAACTCTTATTTGGTTCCATGCATGCTTCATGCGATTGGCCTGTTGGAAAAGGAGCCACAACAGTTTGTAGTGAAGAAGCCCCTCATCAATCTGGGATTTGAGTCAAGGGAATTAGAGAGGGTCATTTTTTAAGTCACAGAAACTCTTTGATGCTGAAGATTTATTAAAGAGGTCCACAGAATATATCATGGGGACAAATGTACCGCTGATGTGACAGAGTGAATACATCTTTGTGTTTTTGGCAAATGACCCCTTTAATCTCACCCTCCAGACGTTCTCTGTTTAATTCTGTTCTGGAGAATGGCTCATCTTGGTACTTCAAAAGATCACATTTGGCCTTTGAAGGGTTAAATAATAAAACACTGAATCCTGTTTGTGGTCTTAGTTGGTTCTTGTATACGTAAATATCAATTCCTCCCAATGTTTCAAACGGGCAGCCAAAATTTTCAATACTTTGCTCCATTATACTGGCATACTGGTCATTCTTCTTGGTTTGGTCCAGATGTCTCAACACTTGCAAAGATGCTTGCTGCAACTTCTGGGACATAAATGGTGTATTGCAGCTCAGCTGTGTTGTCAGGTTGAACGTTATTCCCATGTTGCTTATTAAGGAAGCCTTGCAAAAATGTTGCCTTGACACCTTTTCTTTGAAGCACACCTGATGGCCAAATTAGCAGTGTAACTATAGTAACTGCTCAGGTTTCATCTCACCATTCAGTGCAAATGTTAACTGGCTTCTAGTTTCATTTAATAAACAATATCTGTAAAGTTTTGTACTATTATTTCATTTATATTAAAACAGTGAAACTTAAAATGTTTTTAACATTTCCAAAATGTTTCTTGTTAAAAGAGTGAAGAGAGAAATAGAACAAAACAGCAGCATTAGGCATGTACAATGCCTTGAGTTGAGAAAAAATAAAGACAGGATAAGTAAATAAAGAACATACAGATACATTAAGGAATGGAGCCTCAAGATGTTACATCCTTAAGATTCCAAATTGTATATTTGTGTTTTACCAAAAAGGAAGGATACTTTGTTTAGCTCAGTTGCAGCAGGAACAAAAGAAGCTGCAATTCATTATGAAAAAGTCAGCTGTTAACATGCTTATATTGCCAAAAATCTATTTTGTTGAATAAACCTGCAACTTCACAGTTGCTTTGTTATTTTAAAAAATCCAAATATTTCTTTGCAGTACTCCCAAAGTGAATATATAATTTGATTAAAATTATCAACAGTTCCTTAAA